GCTGCATTAACTACCTTGCCATCTAGCTGGCCCTTGATCTTTTCTATTCTAGTCTTGAAAAATACAGGTCACGATCCACTAAGTTGATTTAATCACCTACAAATGGGTCGGCACCTCTGGTTTGGAGGACTGCTGTTTTGTCCGGGTGAAAACAGCTGTTACCTACACATCTGCCTGCAAGATAAGGCGGGGAGTGCTGAGTCCTGCACTTTGAGATAAGATGCAAGGTTCAGCTGTCACTCCCCACCGGACTGCGGTTTGAACCCCTTGGCTTTTGTGCACTCTGTTCTCTTCCCCTTGGGGTCTTCATCCTCCACCCTGGTCACTTAGCTTATTCCTGCATGTACTGCAGGCTCAGCTTGCCACCTCCTCCAGGAAGCCTCCCTGAATGCCCAGATCTGGTTAGGTGCCCACTTTTTTTTCTCTTAGGCCCCTGAATAGCCGTGCTTGCACCAACACTGCACTGTAATACTATTCCCTGTTGAGAGTCTCTGGGAAGGCAGAGAACTTTTTCATTCTGTTTATTTCTTACTCCTCACCTCAGTTTGTCTTAGTTTGACTTCACAATAATCACTCAATAAATATTTTTGAATGTCTGAATTGTAGCTCAGAATAACAGTAGCAGCTGCTGTTTATGGAATACCCACTTCCACCATGACAAATCTTACAAGAGATTAGCATAAATCCATTTTATGGATTAGGAAATTAAGTCTTAAAGAGATTAAAGAGCAGGGCTGACAGGTGGCATGGTGGTTGGGATGCCGGACTCTCATATCATTGACTGCAGTTCGAGTCCTGGACTTGGCAATTTGCTTTCTCACTTGTCCTCTTTCTCTGTCTCTGGTAAAATCGAAATAATAATAATAAATAAAATAAACAATTATTTTAAAAGAAGAGTGCAGTACTGGAACACAGTAGGACCAGAGTAATAACACAGGACTGCCCGGCCCCACTGCGGCTCAGCACACGATCTTATTTGTTCACACTCCCCTCACCGCTACCTAGGGTGGGGCAAAGGGCAGGGCCTTAACAAACCCTTGGGGACTGATGACAGGTTGATTAAAGAGATTTTCCATAGCACCAGCCACATCTAATTTTGGAGAGTTACACCTCATGTGTGCCTTGGGAGAGAGACTCTATGAAACTTCCAGGGCCCCTGGGTGTGGGGCCATGTCATTTGGGAGAGATCTAGACCACTGACAGAGCAGTGGGTCTCCTGGTTCCCTGGGCCCAGGACCAGGGACACACCTAGATCAGACTCAGGGTCTGCAAAGCCTGTGTGATCGCGCCCACACCAACAAGTCCAACTTCCATTCCCGTTTGTACCCCTCATTCAGTCTGTGCTTGCTGGTCCTCAAACGCGCAAGCCCAGTCCTGCCTCAGGGCCTTTGCATCACCATCCTCTCTACCTGGAAATCTCTCCTCCTCTCTAGTCCTACCCACCCTGCTTCTGGGACCATCCTATCTAAAAACACCACCGTCTCCCCTCTCTGGTACTTTTTTCATAACACTAGTAACTTCTGGAAATTTATATATAGTTGTTTCTGCTTTCTTTCTTTCTTTCTTTCTTTGTTTAAATAATGTCTTCACTGGACTGACCTCTTTGAGAAGCTTGTTTCCTACCCTGCCCAGCCCCTGGAATCTGCTGTGAGACAGCGCTGGCACAGAGCAGTAGAGGGCAATGTCGGCTGTGTGCAGGAGTGAGCAAAGGAGCGAGGGTTCTCCCTTGTAGTCGTACTGGGAGATCATTATTTCCCACGTTCAGCTCAATCCAGAGATGTGTGTCTTTGTGACTCACACCCAGGTCCCCAACACACATGCACAATTTCTCTTGGTTTAAAGAGAAAGAGAAAAGAGAAAGCACTTCAGTGAATGCCTTCGTGCACAGCGCAGAGGTACTGGACATCTCGTAGTGCTCAGGAATGATCTTGGGCCGGCAGGTGGCACAGAGGTTAAGGCAGATGATCCCACATGGAGAAATACACAGTTTAAGTCCCGGACCTTACAACTTGAAAAGCACACCAAGCACGTTTGTGTGTACACCCCAAAATCCCAAGAGGAGTCTGGAGGAGAAAAGTGTGCAGCGTGAACATCCCCACTGGCGGCGGCGATGGGGGGTGATTTCTCACTTTCCCCCTCTCTCTCTGAGATGAAAGCATGCACCCTATAGGAAACTTGAAAGAAGATTTATCTCCATCTTACAGCCAGAGAAACCGAGGCTTGCTAGCTATTGCGTTCCCATCGCCAAGCCCTATTTCCAGGATAAACGTCTGGTGAACTGGAGAGATTCGGTGAGCAGCTCATGGTCACCAAACTAGCGCAGGTGCAGCCAGAAATCATCCAGCTCCTGCCACACTGTGAAGCCACCCTCCATGTGTGCCCACAGAAACTCAAGGACAGCCTTGCTACCACCCAGACTCATTGGAAGGCAGGCCTTGCCCAGAAGCCAAACGGCAGCCCGGACACAAATCTATCTTGTATCCATGGCTGCTCTCAACATGCCCGAGGGCCTCAGCTTGGACAAACCTTGACCCTGGCCTGGTTGATGTCCCTTCTGGCCTCACCTGCCCCGTTCCCACCCCCACCCCTAGCCTACCCCCTGACTGCCCACTTACTGTTCTCTGTCATAAAGAGGGGAGACAAGTGACACATGCAATACCCTACAAATGTCTTCCAGTGCCATATTTTATTTAAGAAATATTTTGTTTAACTCTTTATTTATTTATTTTAATTTGACCAGAGAGGGACAGAGTCAGAGAGAGAGAGAGAAAGGGAAAGTGAGAAAGCAAGTCGCCAGGTCCAGGACTCGAACAGCAGTCAGCCATGTGAGAGTCCAGAGCCCTTAACCACCACGCTACCTATCAGCCCCTATTTATTTATGTTTAATTATCTATGCTTTTGAATTTTCTGTGTTAGCTGTTCTTTCCAATCAGCACAGTGGAAAGATATCTACCCAGAGTCAAAAGGAAGCTGCTGGCTGTTTAGACCAGGAGCCAGCAAACATTATCTGTGAAGAGTTGGATAGCATTGCTTTGCAGGACAGGATACTCGATAGTCAATAAGGACATACGATTCTCACGTTCCCAAAAATATTTTTTTAAGAGGTTTTTTTCTATAGGGCATGTGCACTCACCAGACAGAGAGAGACAGAGAGACAGAAAGCAAGAAATCACCTCTCAGGGGGGATGGCCACACGCATCCCTTCTCCTCCTTTCTCCTCTCGGGATCTTGGGCATGCATGCACACGCACCCGGCATGAGTTTTAAGCCACCGGGTCCGGGACACAAACCATGGTCAACTACGTAGGAGTCCAGCGACATAGCCATTACGCTAACTGCTGGTCCCCCCAAAAATATTTTTCTTTTAATTTTTTAAATTTAAAAGTGGAAAGCCAGCCCAGTCAGTGGCTTGTTAATTAAGGTGGCTGGATCCCAGATGGATGACTGTACAGTTCGAGTCCCAGACCCAGTGGCTTGAAAAACACGCCCAGGCACTGTGATCACGTGCCCAAAATCTTGAAAGGAGGGAGAAGTGGAAGAGAAGGGATAGCGGAGTGATCATGCCTCATGGGAGGTGCTTTCTTACCCCTCCCCCGATCCTGTCTCTCTCTGGTGCGAGCACACACCCTCGGCAATTTCTTAAAAAAGATATAAAATCCTCCTTAGCTTACAAGGTGCACAGAACAGGGAGCAGGCCAGTGTGCCTTGTGACTTGTAGTTTACTGTCTCCTCATTTACAACGTTTTTTCAACTTCAACTTGTACAATAATTGCCTAAAATAAAAAAATACGAATGCACGCTAAAACAGGTATGTTGAAGCAGTTTTCTAGAGCCGCGCTCAGAAGCCGTGACTCAGACAGCCGAGCAGGGTCCCTGCACTTGCATTTCTACCTGGTCGGCAGACGATGCCGACGCTGTCTGTCCACCAACCGTGCAGTGCGCAGTACTGATACTCCAAAGTGCCCTGCTCCATGTATGAGAAAACTGAGGTCCAGAGAAGTGTTAGGTCCACGCCTCTACCCCATAGATGAGGTCATCTGCTCTGTCACTTCACAAGGCTGTTTGGCCACAGAATTTCCTGTTTCTTTATCCCACCAAGTCCTCTCAGGCTCCTGAGTTTTTGTACCTCTCCTCTCTCTCTGCCTGGACCGTCACCAGCACAATGCCCCAATCAGATCTGGCGCAATGTCCCCTCTAAAGCATTCCCTGACTCCCTCAATTCTAACAGCCCTCATTGGCCACTGTGCTCCAAACAGACACGTGTACAGTGTGTGTGTGCCCACCCGTGAGGCCAGGGACTGGGCCTCAATCCTCTTTATATCTAATCCTTGCGCAGTGCCTAGTAAACAGGAGGTAAATAGAAATGTGCCCTGAATGAAATAATGCATACGTGAGTGGTGGATGGATAGATGGGTGAGTGGATGGGTGAATGCATGGATAAATGGGTGAGTGAGTAGATGGATGGAAAGTTAGGAAGGTGAATTGGTGGATGGGTGGATGGGTGGGTGGGTGGGTGGATGGATGGATGGATGGATGGATGGACGGGTGGGTAGGTGAGTGAATGGGGGGATGGATAGATGGATGGGTGGGTAGATAGATGGATGAGTGAATGAGCATACCTTACAATCTTTTTCTTGAAAGTAATTTTCATGGCAAAATGAGACTAGACCCTAACTCTGCCAGCACAAGTTAACAGACATCTCACAGCTGTAAATCCTAGCACACAAACAGTAGTAACTACATTGTGTTGAGTGTGTTGAGTGTGTATTTATAGGGCTGGTCTTGTCCTAAGCACTAAGTACTCCTGTGAATTCTCTCAATAACCCATTGGGCCCCACCTTCACCATTAAGATAATGAGTACTCAGAGAGGTAGGGCAGTTTGCCTCAGGCCACACAGCAAATCGATTTCATGCCAACTGCCTCTTACCCTTCCCACCCTCTACCCGTGTTCCTCATCCTCCCTGGCCCCACCCGGGCTCTGCAGGCGGGGCTGGGCTCACCTCCGTCAGCGTAGGTCTCGGTGCCATAGCCGTCCTGCAGGCCATTGTTCCAAGTGCCCTCGTACTTGGCACCGCTGCTGGTACTCTGCCGCGTGCCGTAGCGTCCCTTGAAGCCGTGTGTCCACTCGCCCTTGTAGAGCCAGCGCCCCTTGGTCTCTATGCCCAGTCCATGCCGTTTGCCCTGGCTCCAGTATCCCTCGAAGGTGTTTCCGCTGGGCCAGGTGTAGACGCCGGCCACTTCAAAGCCGAAGTTCCAAGAGCCGGAGTACTCGCCCTGGCCCTTGGGGCCGGTGCACAGGCCATGCCCGTGGGCCTTGCCCGCCTCCCAGCCCCCGCAGTAGGCCCCGCCATCATCAAAGTCAAAGCGGCCCCCGCTCATCTCATCGTAGCCCCCGACAACCACCCCGTCCTCCAGCTTGGGTGCAGAGGATGTTGGGGTGCCACCACACTCTCTAGCCACCCTCAGGGCTGGGCCCCCAGACTCACCACCGAGCCCCAGGTGGAGGGAAGCAAGCTGCCCGCAGAGGCTGGAAGAGCCCCGGAGCCAGGTGAGCACTGGGTGGGCTGGTCAGTGCCATGCCTGGAAGGATGCCAGCCAGGGAAGGGAGCAGGAAGGAAAGACTCAAGTCCCCGCAACAAGCCCAAGCCTGGCTTCCACCGAGTCTGAGCAAACGGTGTGATCGCTTTAAAAAGCTCAGTGGAAGGGGTGGGCTGGGGGGGGGGGGCCCCAGACTTTCACACGGGGAAGACCC